GGCTTATCGACAACATCCGTGACAATGAGTTATTTGACAACCGCTATGTAGTGTTTCGTCAGGATCGGTCATATGAAACTACCTGCAAGTCTAGAGGAGGTGGAGTGCTGATTGCAGTGAACAAAAGTATACCATCTTGTCAAAATTTACGTTTCCTTGATGTTGGTCACCGAGAAGAAATTTGGGTTGAGCTCAAATTAGTCAATAACGTAAGCCTAATATTAGGAATAGTTTACTTTCCTCCAAAGTCGCCCATTGAGTTATATGCTAGTCATATTGACTGTTTAAACACATTAGCTCAACATTATCCTAATTCTATTATATTTATTGCTGGTGACTTTAACCTTCCAAATATCGAGTGGATCTGTGATAATCAATGTGATAATCTAATTCCGAATAATGTCAAGTCTGTAATTGAAGAGCTTATTTGTGATAATTACAGTTTTAACGATTTGGGACAATTTAATCATATTCTAAACAGTAATAATGTAATTTTAGATCTTTGTTTTTGCAATCGTAATCTCTTAATCAGTCAGGCCATTCCTCTTGTGTGTTGTGATGTTCATCATCCCTCATTAGTTATTGACATTCCTGATATTTATTTGCCTAATATGAGTGACGATTCTTACGAATTTGCTTTTGACTTTAATAATGCACCATTTGATGTAATAAATACACATTTTAATGAGATATGTTGGGATTTTCTGAAGAACATTAATGATATTGATGAATGTATATTTCAGTTTTACTCTATTGTTAATGCGGCTGTAATTAAGTATGTGCCTTATAAGTTGTTTAAATCACATCATGATAATTTTCCGAAGTGGATTGATAATGCCACCAGGATTCTAATTATAAAAAAAAAGTTAGCACACAAAAAATATAAAAATTCCAAACTTACATCTGATTATGAAGAATTTAGTTTACTTAGATCTCAATGTAAATCTGCTCTTGATGAATGCAAAAAAAGATACTTAAGTAAAATTGAAAATAATATTGTAAATGATACCAATGCGTTTTGGAAATATGTCAAATCTAAGACGGATTTATCTTCCTTACCAGCAAACATGTTCTTAAAAAATGCTTGGGGAAATTGTCCCAAGACTATTGCTGATTTATTTGCAACGCATTTTGAATCAGTTTATTGTCATGAGAATTCCTTAAATTTCAAATGGGCATGCAATCAAAATTGTCCTAATCCAGTTGATTTAAATGTAATTACAATTGAAATTGAGAACATCTTGATAAAAATAGGAGCGTTGAAATCCTCAACAAAAAGAAGTCCTGATGGCATACCTTCCATCTTTGTTAAAAAATGTGCCGAAAGCTTGAGTCTTCCTCTACATATTCTTTTTAATAATTCATTGTTCCTATCAAAAGTTCCATCAGTTTGGAGAATTTCATATATTACACCTATTCACAAAACCGGTAGTCGTAGTGATGTTGAAAATTATAGACCTGTTAGTATTGGATCTCCTATAGCTAAGGTATTTCAATCCTGTGTCACTGATATTATATCTTTTGCGGTTAAAAATATTATCTTTAACAACCAACACGGTTTTTGTAAAGGTCGTTCGACTGCCACAAATCTGTTTGTTTTCACTAACTATGTTATTGAAAGCATGGAGTTAGGTTATTCAATTGATTGTGTGTACACTGACATGTCGAAGGCTTTCGATAGGATAAATGTTAATTTATTAATTGCTAAACTTGCTTGGCTGGGATTTGATGACCCTCTTTTGTCTTGGTTAAAATCATATTTGTCTAATCGTAAGCAATTTGTTTTAATTAATGGGATTAAATCCAGATGTATAGATGCTGTTTCTGGTGTTCCACAGGGTTCGCATCTTGGACCCGTGTTGTTTTCTTTATTTGTTAATGACATTGTTAATGTAATACATAGTAGTGAGATTCTTCTCTTTGCTGATGATGTAAAAATTTTTAAGTGTATAGGGTCGTTAAATGATTGTCTTGCTCTTCAAGCTGATTTATACAATTTTGAAATGTGGTGTGAGTACAATAAATTAGAACTGAATATTCCTAAATGTAAATTTATTACTTTTAGTCGAAAACGTTGTTCAATTAATTATCAATATTCTTTGTCTAATACTTACCTAAAAAAAGTATCTTTATGTTCTGATCTAGGTATTATATTTGATTCCAAATTAAACTTCAACGCTCATATTGATAATGTTGTGTCCAAAACATCTAGGTTGTTAGGCTTTATTATACGGATGTGCTCGGATTTCTCTAATATTCGTACATTGTTGTTGTTGTTTAATGCTTTCATACGATCTAATCTCGAATACTGTACAGTCATTTGGTCGCCTTATTTTAGAATTCATATAAATAGGCTTGAGTCAATTCAAAGGAGATTTCTAAAATTTATTTGCTTTAAATGTGGTATTGTTTATGTTAATTACTGTGATATACTGACTTATTTGGGTTTATTGCAATTAGAGGTAAGGAGAAAGATGTTTGATTTTATATTTCTATTTAAAATATTGTCTTCCTTAATTGTTTGTCCTGATATTTTGAGATTATTTAAGTTGCATGTGCCCGAGAGAAGGGGCAGACATACCCACCTGCTTGCCCTGTTTTCTTCACGTACCTGCTATAGATTTTATAGCCCTGTTGGTCGTATATCGCGTTTATCGTTAGCATATAGTGATATTGATATAGTGGGTGTGTCTCTCACTTCTTTCAAGCGCAATATTCGGACTACTCTGTCAACTAGTTTTTAATATTTTTATATTATATTTTTTTTTTTTTTGTGTTTGGTCTATATGTTATCTATTTACATTTTTTTCCATTTTTGTAACTGGTCTAACCGTTAAATAAATCATTATTATTATTATCATTATTTTTTGTCGACGAATTTGGTTTGTCTTAGGACCTCCGGTATCTTTTGTTGACCTGTCTTAGAACCTCCATGATTTTTTGTCTACAAATTTGACCTGTCTTAGGACTTCCATTACTTTTTGTCGACCAATATAATAATAACTAATAATAAGTAAATTTATTTCCAGCAGACAATTATGTCTCTAGTGGATACAATGAGTTGTCTTAGGACTTTAATTATTTTTTGTCGACAAATTTGACTTGTCTTAGGACCCCCATTACTTTTTATCGACGAATTTGAGATATTTTAGGACCCCTACCATTTTTTGTCGATCAATTTGATTTGACCTGATGTAATGGAGGTCGTAAGTTTGGCCAAATTCGTCTAGGACAGGTCAAAAGAGGTCAAACTGCGTTAGAGCCCCCACTACATAATTACTTATTTAGTGCAAAATCTTGAAACAACATTTAAAAAATTATTTTCTAGGGTACCACTATTTCATTTAAAATTCTCGAAATTAATATTTTCAAAATAAAACACTACCCTAACGGCTGACCATTTTTAATGAAAAAAATTATGTTTTGTCTAACAAATCCTTGTCATTTTTTCCAAATCGCTTCAAAAACACACACTTGTCTAATAAAAAAAGGGAAATACATTTTGTCCAAAAATAGTGCGAAACTAGATAATTTATTTTAAACTCTTTTAGTTTGTTCTTGGGGTTTTGTTGTCACTATATTTAAAAAATGCTTCGATTAAAAAGGCATTTAAATCTTTCAAAATAACACTTAAAAAATTATTTGCTATCCCGACGCCTCCACCATTTTTGTCATAAAAGTTAAATTTACTTAAATGGATTTTACAAAGGACTGATTTCATTGAAAATTGTGCCAGATATACGAATTCGTATTTATTTTCGTTCTACGTCTTCAGAATGAGGACAAAAAGGAAGTAATTGATCTCAAATCAAATCTATTAGTGTCTTTGCTATTCTGTTCAAATATCAATATATTTGAGCCATCACATCATGTTAAAACATTTTAAACACAAATTAATTAAAGATAATTTATTAAATTTTGAATCTGTCCTTGTTTTGTTAGACTATACAACTATCTATTTGAAGGAAATATAGTCTTTCAAAATACACTACAATCTACAAGTACATTTTCAAAATTCGTCCTGGAAATTTTCTCAGGATTACGAATCATATAAATGAAGATTATGAAACGCTAATCGATATTTGTTTGTTCATCCCCACGAACAATTTGATGACGTCACGTCAAAAGCTTGCTAAGTATCACTTTAATCAGTTCAATTCAGTTAATTAAATGATCATTAAAACAATCTCGTAAATCTTTTACTATAAAAAATAAACATTTCCAACCAATGGCGCAATCACGGCGACATAAACTTTCCCCCCAACATGAGTTTTATTTCTCGTAACACTTCACCTGAAACTGAACGTTTAAACCCAACAATGGGTTTCCGCTCCTGAAAAACCCTTTACTTTCAACAAAGCCCTGAATTTCGCCAGACTTCGCATGTTCTTAACGTATTCCTTAAAGCAGTTTCAGCGTACGCGATAAATACACACATAAACCTCCTGACGTAATGGTCCGTGCGTCCTTTAAATTTTACGGGGCAGATTTATATAAGACGTAATCGTTGGAACAGCCTGTAGCAATAAATCCCTCTAATTCGGTCAAAGGTCAAAGAGTTTAGCACTCTGCGTTACCTTCTCCCATAACATTTCGTGGCTAACGACAAGGACAACGGCGAAACTGTCTATCTATGAAACAGTACAAAACGGAGACAAGCATATACATGGGTATATACATTAAAATTTGGAAGATAGATTGAAAAAAATAACAGTCAACGGTTGGTAGCGCTATGTCAAAACATGCACCAAGACTAGGGGTTAGGGGGGCGCCCGGGGCGGGGGCGGCTGAAAGTCGGCGGCCGCGGGGTCCACACAGACACCAATTACTGGATTTTAAAATTTTTGAAAATTGTCAACAAAATTCAGTAACTAGAGTTTGTCTAGACAATGTCGTCAGCGAGACTAAAGCCCGCCCCCTCCGGACGCCCGCCCCCACTACAAAATTTCTCCGGAGTACAAGAATGGGCTCTACTTAAGTATAAAAAAAATTGCACTTACCGGGCACATTCGTCATGCCATGCGGGTCTCTCCGAGTCCCCAGAGTCGTCTGTAAGACTGGACCTAGGGAGTGCAAGGATCGGACAGAGTGATCAAGAGACAGAGCTATATCTGTGCAAGTCATGACCGTGCTCACAGAAACACCAGAAAGATAAGAAGGTGAAAGAGTGTGAAACGAACACCAAGCTCAAAGAGAGAGAGCGAGACAGAATCGTAGCGGTCACAATTGCACTAAGCTAATCTAGTTAATGACCCTTCGACATGGACTAGGGCATGCAAGGGCGAAAAACCTTACGCTATTTTCTCGCTGGGCGACCGCCAGGGCACGTCGTCCTCCAGCTCGTCCTCGCTCTCGTCGGCCACGTCCTGGGGGATGTTGAGGGTCGAGCTGGTGAACATGTCGGGGACCGGCAGGATGCTGGGCCTACACAACAGGTTTGGGTTCTTATTACTATTATTATTGAGTACACAGCTTAATGGGTGAGGACCCAACTACGTGAGCCGAGACACGAATGTGAACATTATTAAGGCCAAATTCAGTTTAAATTAATTAATAATGGACGTCGTCTTCTGGATTGTTATTTTCTTTAGGTATTAGGGTTGTCGAAAGAGTGAACAAATTTTCATTAAAGGCGTTACCTCAAACAAAGTAGATCTAAAATTCTGAAAATATATAAATTAGAAAAATAGTATCCCGGCGCCTCCACCATTTTTATAGAGAACATTCAAAGTTATTAAAATTGACCCAAAAAGTAGTGTGAAAATTGTTTCAGAATCACGAGCTTCTATTTATTTTTCCACTCTTTTTTTTAATAACCAAGAAAAACATGTTCTTGAGCAAAAAAACTGACCTTGGATAAAATCAATCCGAAGGTTGTGGAAAAAGTGAACAAATTTCCGTTAAAGGTCTTATTTTCAGCAAAGCAGAGATAATTATATATACATTAAAAAAAAATATAATCCCAGCGCATCCACCATTTTTATGGAGCAAATTCAAAGTTATTAAAATTCACTCAAAAAGTAGTTATTCTTGTAAAAATTCTTTCAGAATCACGAATTTCCACTTGTTTTTTCAATTTTTTTTTAATAACAAAAAATGTGTTCTTGAGCAAAAAACTGACGTAGGGCAAAATCGGTCCGAATGGCCCTCGTCATTTATTTTGGTGCAAATTTGTTCTTGATTGTTATTTTCTTTAGGCGTCAGGGTTGTCGACAGAAGGAACGAATTTTCGTCAAGGGCGTCATTTCAAACAAAATGGAATTGAAATTCTGAAAATGTATATAAATTAAAAAAATATTATCCCGACGCATCCACCATTTTTATGGACAAAATTTAGAGAAAGTTCAAAGTTACAAAATTCAGTCGAAAAGGAAGCATTCTTGTGAAAATTCTTTCAGAGTCACTAACTTCCACTTATTTTTCGATTTTTGTTCAGGTAATAGGGAAAAATGTGCAAAAAATGACGTTGGACAAAATCGGCCCGAATGAATGTCGTCATTTATTTTGGTTCAAATCTCTATTTGATTGTTATTTTCTTTTGGGCATCAAGATTGACCAAAGGAACAAATTGTCCTTAAAATAGAAGAGATTTAAAATTTTGAAAATAAAATACAAAGAAATTAAAAAATTGTTGTCCCGGCACCTCCACCATTTTTATGGAGAAAATTTAAAATTATGAAAATTGACTCAAAAACGAGTCATTATTGTGCATATTTTTTCAGAGTCAAGAATGTGCACTTATTTTATAATTTTCTTCAACTAACAACCAAAATTTGTTCTTAAGCAAAAAAATTGACTCTGGACAAAACGGTCCAAATGAAATTCGTCATTTATTTTGGTTCAAATTTATTCGTGATTCTTATTTTCTTCTGGTACCAAGATTGTCGAAAGAATAAACAAATTTTTGTTAAAGGCATTATTTCAAATAAAATAGAATCAAAATACTAAAAATATATCTAAATTAAAACAATATTATCCCGGCGCCTCCACCATTTTTATAGAGAAAGGTCGAAATTATAAAAATTGAATCAAAAAGGAGTCATTTTTGTACAAATTCTTTCAGAGTCATGATTATTCACATATTTTGGCATTTTTTTTTTTTCAAAAAATGTAAAATGTAAAAATGTACGTGTTCTTAAGCAAGAAAAAAACTGATATTGGACAAAACCGGTCCGAATGGCCGTCGTTATTTATTTTGTTTAAATCTGCTCTTGATTATTATTTTCTAATGGTACCAAGATTGCCGAAAGAATAAACAAATTTTTGTTTAGCGTGTTATTTCAATCAAACTAAATTTAAAATTTTGAAAATACATCCAAATTAAAAAATATCCCAGCGCCTCCACCATTTTTCAGAAAAATTTCAAATTTATTAAATTGCCTCAAGAAGGAGTCGTTCTTTTGCAAATTCTTTCAGATCAAAGAACAGTATTTTCTATTTTTTTTTTAAATAACAAAGAAAAACGTGTACTTAAGGAAAAAAATTGTCGTGGACAGATCCGGTCCGAATGGACGTAGTTATTTATTTTACTTCAGATCTGTTCTTGATTGTTATTTTCTTTAGGTTGTCGAAAGAATGAACAAAATTTCGTTAAGATCGTTATTTCAAATAAAATAGGTTTAAAATTCTGAAAAAATATATATAAATTTAAAAAATAATATCCCGGAGCTTCCACAATTTTTTCGGAGAAAATTTCAAAGTTAGAAAAATTTTGTCAATAAGGAGTAATTCTTGTGCAAATTCTTTCAGAATCATGAATCTCGACATATTTTTCCAATTTTCTTCAAATTACAAAGAAAATGTGTTCTTCAGCAAAAAAAATCACTTTAGACAAATTCGTCGTTTATTTTGGATCAAATCTGTTCTCGATTATTATTTTCTTTTGGTATCAAGATTGTCAAAAAATGGAAAATGGAAAAATGTGTACTTAAGCAAAAAAAAACTGATATTGGGCAAAACCCGTCCGAATGTACGTAATTATTTAATTTGTTTTAAATCTGCTCTTGATTATTATTTTCTACTGGTACCAAGATTGCCGAAAGAATAAACAAATTTTTGTTTAGCGTGTTATTTCAATCAAACTAGATTTAAAATTTTGAAAATACATCCAAATTAAAAAATATCCCAGCGCCTCCACCATTTTTCAGAGAAATTTCAAATTTATTAAATTGACACAAGAAGGAGTCGTTCTTCTGCAAATTCTTTCAGATTAAAGAACAGTATTTTTCTATTTTTTTTTTTAATAACAAAGAAAAACGTGTACTTAAGGAAAAAAATTGTCGTGGACAAATCCGGTCCGAATGGACGTAGATATTTATTTTACTTCAGATCTGTTCTTGATTGTTATTTTCTTTAGGTTGTCGAAAGAATGAACAAAATTTCGTTAAGATCGTTATTTCAAATAAAATAGGTTTAAAAATCTGAAAAAATATATATAAATTTAAAAAATAATATCCCGGAGCTTCCACAATTTTTTCGGAGAAAATTTCAAAGTTAGAAAAATTTTGTCAAAAGGGAGTAATTCTTGTGCAAATTCTTTCAGAATCATGAATCTCGACATATTTTTCCAATTTTCTTCAAATTACAAAGAAAATGTGTTCTTCAGCAAAAAAATTCACTTTAAACAAATTCGTCGTTTATTTTGGATCAAATCTGTTCTCGATTATTATTTTCTTTTGGTATCAAGATTGTCAAAAAATGGAAAATGGAAAAATGTGTTCTTAAGCAAAAAAAAAAAAACTGATATTGGACAAAACCCGTCCGAATGGACGTCATTATTTATTTTGTTTTAAATCTGCTCTTGATTATTATTTTCTTCTGGTATCAAGATTGCCGAAAGAATAAACAAATTTTTGTTTAGCGTGTTATTTCAACTAAACTAAATTTAAAATTTTGAAAATATATCTAAATTAAAAAATATCCCAGCGCCTCAACCGTTTTTCAGAGAAATTTCAAATTTATTAAATTCACTCAAGAAGGAGTCGTTTTTTGCAAATTCTTTCAGATCAAAGAACAGTATTTTTCCATTTTTTTTTTAATAACGAAGAAAAACGTGTACTTAAGGAAAAAAATTGTCGTGGACAAATCCGATCCGAATGGACGTAGTTATTTATTTTACTTCAGATCTGTTCTTGATTGTTATTTTCTTTAGGTTGTCGAAAGAATGAACAAAATTTCGTTAAGATCGTTATTTCAAATAAAATAGGTTTAAAATTCTGAAAAAATATATATAAATTTAAAAAATAATATCCCGGAGCTTCCACATTTTTTTCGGAGAAAATTTCGAAGTTAGAAAAATTTTGTCAAAAAGGAGTAATTCTTGTGCAAATTCTTTCAGAATCATGAATCTCGACATATTTTTCCAATTTTCTTCAAATTACAAAGAAAATGTGTTCTTCAGTAAAAAAAAATCACTTTAGACAAATTCGTCGTTTATTTTGGATCAAATCTGTTCTCGGTTATTATTTTCTTTTGGTATGAAGATTGTCAAAAAATGGAAAATGGAAAATGTCTACTTAAGCAAAAAAAACTGATATTGGATAAAACCCGTCCGAATGGACGTCATTATTTATTTTGTTTTAAATCTGCTCTTGATTGTTCTTTCTTCTGGTATCAAGATTGCCGAAAGAATAAACAAATTGTTGTTTAGCGTGTTATTTCCCCTAAACTAAATTTAAAATTTTGAAAATACATCTAAATTAAAAAATATCCCAGCGCCTCCACCGTTTTTCAGAGAAATTTCAAATTTATTAAATTCACTCAAGAAGGAGTCGTTCTTGTGCAAATTCTTTCAGATTAAGGAACAGTATTTTTCCATTTTTTTTTATAACAAAGAAAAACGTGTACTTAAGGAAAAAAATTGTCGTGGACAAATCCGGTCCGCATGGATGTAGTTATTTATTTTGCTTCAGATCTTTTCTTGATTGTTATTTTCCTTAGGTTGTCGAAACGATGAACAAAATTTCGTTAAGGACATTATTTCAAACAAAGTAGGTTTAAAATTCTGAAAAAATATATATAAATTTAAAAAATAATATCCCGGCACCTCCACATTTTTTCGGAGAAAATTTGAAAGTTATAAAAATTTTGTCACAAAGGAGTAATTCTTGTGCAAATTCTTTCAGAATCATGAATCTCGACTTACTTTTCCAATTTTCTTCAAATTACGAAGAAAATGTGTTCTGCAGCAAAAAATTCACTTTAGAAAAATATCGGTCCGAATGAAAATCGTCGTTTATTTTGGATCAAATCTGTTCTCGATCATTATTGTCTTTTGGTATCAAGATTGTCGAAAAAATTAACAAATTTTTATTGAAGGCATTATTTCAAATGAAATAGATTTAAAATTCTGAAATTATATAGAAATTTAAAAATATATTACTCAGGCGCCTCCATCATTTCTATGGAAACAATTCGAAGTTACA